GCGCTTGCGAGCAAAGATTTAGATTGCCCGATGTTGCTAGGATATGAGCAAAGAAAATATGTAGTTTGAAGGATGAGCTGTTACCTAATATAGTTTAGTTAACTAATCTTTTTTAGAGGTTTTAAACGTAGTCGTGAATGATTTTCAAAAGAAACACGGAAAATTATCAAATTATATCCCATAAGCACACTCCAAATTTAAAGGAATGATTTGACAAAAAAAAGGCAAAAACATAAGATGAACGAAAGCGTTTTTATTGATTGATTCTGAGGTTTTTGGAACAGAGATGTATGTTATGGACACAGTCCTTCAGTTCGGTCGCATGTCGCCAAACATCCTCCGCATGTTCTTCCGGGTTGATATATCTGCTCGTTCAGAATGTTTCCACTAAATCAAGTTACTCTATTTTGTCGCTGTCATTTACATTTCAAAAACGGTTACACACAAAAACAATTAGTTAAACTTACGCAGGGCTATACCGGCAAACAACAAATTTGGAGTGAGAGCAGGTTTGAATGGCACATCCTACTTGAGTCGATCTTTGCCATGCCATCTTGAAAACGGGATTTTGGTGACCTAACCTCTAGTTGGTACAATGAAGCCACTTACTTGTGTAAAACCTTTCTGATCTATCCATTTGTCTCTCAAGTTCTGCGTGAATATCAAACCCCAATTGATGCCATCAAGGAATATTTGTCTCCACCAGTTTTTTACTGCCTAAGATCAAAATGAATTTTCCATGCCGAAAGCACTCCAGTCACACACAGTAACACTCGTTAGTTTTAGTAATGATCACTTGGAAGCTCATGATATGATTTTCTATGGTGATTTTCGATTACAAACCTGGTGCATCAGGCATCTTGACTTGATGACAAGCGAATCATGGAGTCATCATAAAAAAACCTGCTCCTGAGAGAACCACAATCTAATCACAAGTAAGTTTTCAAGCTGAATGTCAGGAATTCCTGATTAGGTTGATGTTAGTGATAACAGCTAGAACTTTTATCCGAACATCTTTAAATTTTATATCATTTTGGCGCTATTCCACTTTACCGAGCGCAAAATCTCGAAAATTCTGATTTTGTTAAAACGTTCCTCGCGGGATATTTGCTCCGGCCTTGGATCAGAGACTAAGGCCCGTAGTAAAGTTCCCGTCAGGTGAGACGATATGACCTTACGGGGCTAGTCCAACCTCACCGAGTTCACATGATCACGATCCCTCCGCCATAGTATAAGGATACAAAGTCCGCGGAGGGATCACGGTCATGCGAGGTACGATGAGATGAACTGAGCCCCCAAGGATAGAATTCTCCTGATAGGTCATACAAAGGAAATAGGTGTGTTTTACGAGACTCCGCAGGGGAACTCGTAAGTTGCTCGAAACAACTTACGAGCAACTTACGAGCTCCTCTGGATGCGCTTTTGAATCAAATGCGGACCATCATCGTCCCAAAAGTGCACACTTTTACACGTGATCTACCCAATATCCGCTCCTAATCAATGATTTGGTTCGAAGTTCTGCTACAACTTTACGGTGCACCTATGATCCTTCATGTAACTCCTACATATTAGCAAAAGAGTCTACCGCTGAGCAGATTCGAACAATGGTCAGTTACTAGTGGCCGCCATCCAAGCACTGAACCACCAATATTGACGCAATGAGGTTGTGAATGTCTAATTGTAGTTAACTGTGCATGCCATGATTCTTCGCAATTAATTGTTCCCCTGTACCTTGCCTGCCTTAGATTGACTTCACCTGACGCTGTCTTCAGATGATCTCTGCTGGCGGACTTTACTACGGGCCTAATTTTTGCATCCACTATGACTCAAACCTGTACAGGTAACTTTAAGAATTGCGCACTCTCCTTATGATTAGATGTGTAATGACTCCTCTTAGTGATTTTCTTTTTTCCTGATTTTTTCATAATTTCCGTTTACTTAACGTCGTGATTAGCATGATGAAGAACCCCACCAGACCATTTCCAATCATTCTCTGTGTTGTTAACAAATTCACCTTACTACTATTTTAACCTACAGTATGGCTCTGATGTGCTCATTCCCTGATTAGCTTACCCACTGGGTTGAGTTTCAACGCGATCCAAAACTTCGCATCTTGGCCAAAAGTGGACCTATTATAGTAAGAAGAAAGGAGGCAATGAGGGGAGGGGCGGCTTCTTATTCTGATATGCCACTCTGCCTCAGACAGAAGGTGAAAATTGACTAGTG